ATAAAACTTCCTAAGAATGGTCTTAAGAATGGTCGTACACTTTGACTTAAGAGTTATAAAAAATTTTAGCAAAAAGTAGGACCTAAGAGCATTGTATAAAACTGCTAAAAGTAACTTTCAGCAAAGTCTAAGCCCAATTCCTAAGTGCTGCACGGTAAATATATTAGTGACATTAAACCGTTAATGTAGAGCTTTATACAACATACCTTTTTGTGATCAAACCTTTAATTGGTTGTACGAAAATCTACCTAGCACATCACCAATCAATTTCCACTAATACACGCACATGTAGTATAAATTATGGGTCAAACGCAAAACTCATAGCAAGACATTGGATCCTAAAAGAAAACCAAACTGGACGACAAACAAATTGTTTCTTTTGGCACAGTTGGTGCTTAAATGGAAGGAGGTAGTGCGACGAAAGTTTGGCCCAGCTGTTACAAGCACGGACAAAAAAAGCTTAGGAGGCTCGGACAAGGCGTTCAGCAGAGGAATGTGAAAAAAGGTGGTATAATGTTCTATCGACCTCGCGAAAGGAAATCACAGTTTATAAAGCAAGCATGCAAGCTACAGGTTTGTCACTACTTATATTGCTCTTATGACCCTCGCTATAATAGATGATGATGATGATAATAATTATAATTATTATTATTATATTTTTCCAGTTGCCAAAAACGTAGCATCATTATCACCTTCAGTTCAACTGTAAGTGCATTTTTAGGTGACGTAGGAGATTGTATCCGTTTCCTAATTAGGTCGGTAACAAAAATAATGCCTTCACGATCAAGCCCGTATCTTTTTATCAACTCGTTATCATCGTAAATCCGCAGGACGTCCTTTCTTTGACGGAAAGTGCGCGGTCTCCGTCTGGGTGCGCGTAGTGCAGCTGCCATCATTCAGCTCCTAGCCGGCTTAGGAGTCCTCTCCAGCTCTCTTAAATAATTTAGGAGCTGAGACCAAGTCTTAACACTTAAGAATGTTTATGCATGCCACTTATTCTTAAGTCTGGGAGTAGGAGCAAAATCACGTCACTCTTAGAATTGTGACGCATTTAAGAGTGAAATTTTACTCTGAGAAGTTTTATGCATACTGGCCCAGATCAGAGCCTGTGGTTAAATCCAGGCACTATTTTCATGGGGGTGTTGTGTTATTTCTCAAAGCATTCAGTATGATGGCTCACTATTGATAGTAGCCCATATTTATTTTCCCAGACCTGGGACTGGGACTTAGGCATAACTGATAATAAAATTCTCACATTTTACGGAGCCCAAAATATTACCCCTATGTGTTTTTTCATGGCCAATAAATTAACAGACACCAATGGTTAAACTATGACATTTTCTCACACTTAAATCAGGCATCATGTGTGTTATAAGTAACCTTATAACTTAACCTTAAAGCAACTAAATAACTCTTGCAGTGTTAATCTCTCAAATAAGAGCAAAGGTTATCTATTCTACCAAAAACACCTTACAAATCAACTGCGTTCACATGGGGGGAAAAAAATTGCTTTCGGTCCTAAAGTTTTTGTGTTCTGTATTATAGCATCTCCATTCATTGTCAATCAGTAACGACTATAGATGAAAAAATACTAGTATTCCCAAGATAAGAGTGATAAATGATTACAAAGAAACATTGTTGGTGCTTTGTTGGTTGGTAATTCTCCAATGCCGATACATTCATAGAACCTTAATATGGGCTGATTTTAGTAGCCAACCAAGGTATCAATCAAACTCTAACATGTATCCAATCACTAGGCAATGACATAGGATATATCCCCTGATACAACACTCAACATTAAGCATCCATTTTGAGTGACTTCGACCTGGATAAGCAGTTAAAAGATGGATGGATTGATTTTCATTAGTAATTGTTTTTTTTAGGTTGGATTTTAAGTGTTTCCCAGTTCACATGTAGTGTAACACCCCAGACAGGTCACCACGGGCCCCGCCAAGCGTGACACACACCTAGCAATAAGTCACCTGATGCAGTGATGCAAATGTATTCAGACTTGAGTCTGAATGCAGACTCACAGCCATGGAGGTGTGACCCAGCATTGCTGTCGGCTGGTCCTATGGTGCCTCTCACACATTATTAGCACATGTACCTGTTTATAATTATGCTATTTAAGACGCTTTAGACCTTAATTTGACTTTATGAACTTCTATTAACCCATTGTTATTGCAGATATTTTCTAGCTGTTGATATACTATATTTGTATTGCCTATTTGTAGTCATTATAATGTTATTGTTGTTTTTGTTGTTATTTTTTTCATATTTTACTGTTACTTTGTTCTTATTTATTCTTATCTTTTTAGAGTATTTTATTTTTTTCTTCGTATTGCCTCACGCACGGTACAGGAACTAGTGGAAAACCGTTTCGCTGTGCAGTAGTATAGTGTATGATTTTGTATATGACAAATAAAACTTGAAACTTGTAACTACCCAGGATATAGACCAATGATGTTTGGTTTTACTGTGTTTGAAGCTGTATTTGAGAGCCAAAACTTTGTATTTGTACATCGAGTTCTTTTAGTACTACAAATGAAATTGTCATTATGTATGAGTCGGTGTGCGTAACCGGTTTGTTTATGACATTTTATGAACTTCTTTGATTACATCACTGTCGAACATCCATGAACCGGGGAGGAATAAATAGAAAACTTGAATGGACTCATTCACATTCTCCAGTAATTGTCTCCTGGCTCTCGTTTCACCTGGACATACTTGCATACCTTTTGGCACATTCGCAATGTTTTGAAAGCATATTTTTCATGTGAAACACGTGACAATTTTTCGTTCATCCAGCATTCAAGCAACAATAAAACAGTAAAAGCATACATTTCGGATCGTCTAAAACTCTGGGTTCTGAAACCCATTCAGTGAGTCCTCCCAACTCATATGAACCAAATTATCCTTCTGGTTATGTTAGTAGATTGTTAGCAGTAGTGTCCACCACTGCTGCTGAGGTTGCATCATCATGATCTTCTTCTAGTATCTCAAGCATGAATAGGATAGGTGTGACCCGTGATGACATTCAGATCGTTTTTCCTGCTAGAGGCTTAAGGCTAACTAACCAAAGATCTGGGCAAATAGTTTGCTGTCAGGATCTAGAATAGAGGTGATTCAGTGGGTCCCCACTGCATGTGCTGAAAATGAGAGACACAAACCAGGTCTGTATACAAGGGAAGGGTCATAGGTGCACTTGTACCTAGCTAAAATCTGATTGGTCCCCAGAGTGCCTCTTCCCTTGTCGCTCATCCATTCAAAGTGTACGATAATTTTCATCATATGTCACGAGCTGGTTAATGATAAAACTGGCCCCTCTCTATGAATTATTACCCCTCATATGCACCCACACATTAAAAAATTCTAGAATCGCCCAGACTCAAACACATATATATAGGTGAGAGCAAAGCTTAGGATCAGACAGTGTCCTTAGAGCAGGTGGGTTTGAACGTCTTGTTCTAGGGCCCAGAGGTGATATGATTAGTTGACCAGCCACAGGATTCAAACCCATGGTTTATCAGAAGCAAAGAACATCTCACTGAGCTACACAGTAGAAAAGGCTTGGTACTTTGCCCCCTTTACTGACAATTTCCTTTCTTCATAGATGCTTTGATACAGGACCTTGGTGCACGCCAAGCAGACAGGATCAAGTAACCAAACTACCACGGGTCAACCTGTAGACTCATATTTCCTCCTTAATTGTGAGTCAGCAGCTACAATTTTCGTCCATATGCCCATGTGCATAGAGCTAGGCATCCATTTAGGTTTGGCACTCATCATTATATTGTTCCAGCTTCTTTTATAGATTAGAAATTCCAAGAACCTAAGTGCCCTAATGTATTTCCTACTTTTTTCACCTTCATGAACTCTAGAACTCTAGAGTCTAAGATGGTAAGTCAAAGAGCACTTGTGTTCGTTTTTTTTTTTGGTTTTTTGTTTTTCCATCATAACCCGCGGACAAAAGCACACTGCAGGTTTGATGGCCGGAGGGACGTGCGTGGGCGCAGGTATCCGCAGATGGCTTTGACCGTGTTTTCACTCCCGCGATGAAGGCCACCCACACTTTGGCTCGCTGCCAAGTTGGCACTGGCAAGCTGCTTGAGCCACGTCCTTGAACAACGTCTATCAACGGCGGCAGCAGGCCCAGTGAGGGCCACTCACCAAATGAACCACGTGGCCCTGGTGGGGAGGTGTTTTATGACCTGCCTACTTGGTAAACTGATTAAGTTCATGTATGAATGGTCTGCTGTTATCTTGCCCAGACTATGACTTGACACTATAGCCATCAACGTTGGACTTTGATGCATATATAATTAGTCAGGGCTAAGTCAGTGGTGGTGTTTTTTTTCGTTCTGAAGGCGTCTTAACCAAACATGTATTTTCCAGTCTGGTCTATTTTTTATGGTTTACTATCTTTTGCAGGTACATCCTTCCCAAAATGGCACACAAACCTACACACAAGCCTACACACATTCACACACAATGCCTCATATTTTGATGATACTGTTCTTTAGCATGGTGGTTGTGCCTACCGTAGACTGTTAGCTTAGCCACTGATAGCTACTGAAACATCACTGAAACATCTACATCGTCGTCACAGATAGTCAGGTGACACTACTGTAATTTTAAGTCCTTCCTCCACAACAGAAGACAGTGGATCAGCCCCACGAAACAGCCACAGGTGACAAGCATGAAACGGGTCGCACATCTTCCAGGCACCAAGATGTCATTCTTGTTTTTCTAGTATTATTCGAAGGCGTGTGACCTTAAAGTACCTTTTGCTGCTATGCAGCAGAACAGGACTGGCCGTGAATTTCGATGGGCAGCGATGCCGTCCAACAGCGTTTCTCTTAGATCCCCATGGGCAGAAACCAATCCCAAGGCGTTTTTTATGGGACCCTCCCACCACCAGTGACTCAGGGCAGGTGACACCTCAGCAGCTACTGATCACACCCTTTCCATTCATAATTATGACAAAATACACAAGGCGGTACAAAAAAATAAACGTTTATTTCAAAGCAGTAGCTCGATGCAGTTACTGGGAGCAGCCAGTCCTATTGACATTACAGGAAGTTTGTTTATAATATTACTGGAGGAGTATTTTCACCCAAATACATTTTCTTTTGTTAAGATGATCCTATTAAAGACCATTGCCATCAAATGTTTAAAAATATACTGTGTATTTTGTACAGATCCCATCACCCATTAGAATCACAATACTCCTCGCACAAACAGATTACTTTATGAAAATGAACCAGTTTATTTTTAATTTGCTGTCACGTTGTGTGTTGTGACATGGAAATGGCTTCTTATGTGTCTGAGCCCTTTTATAAAAATTCCCTTCCAGGAATTCACAATGTGACTTTTTTTGGTTTACATTTGATTAATAGTTTACTCACATCACAAAGGGCCTTTTGGAAAATTCGATCCATACGGGATAAAGAGATTAACGGTTTACAGCTGCCCAGTACAATGTAGTCTTCCCACAACAGAATTAAATAATGCACATTTGAAAAAAAAAATGCTTTTGAAAATGCCGAACCTCCTGAGGCAAAAATGGCTTTGAACGTTTTAAAAGTACTCATTAAATATTCAGTGAGCATTATTGAGATTATATACTTACAGCCTGTTTACATTCCTGACAAGCACAAGGACCTCAGTAACATGATACAAAATGTGCAATAAAACACACAATCACATATAAAACACACATCCATGTTTTGCTTTGGCCACAGAAAGACGAGAGGCAATATTCTCTGTACATAATGCATTCTGGGAAAAAAAACACATGCAGTGTAAATAAATAACAATCGCTGTATATTACATAAACACCCAATGAATAAAAATAGTTTTCTGAATTCCCAAGAAATAATACTTATTAGTTAAATATGATAAAATACATACTTTAAACAAAATAAATTTCCCTTAAACACAGTGTTGCCTGCGTGGACCACAGCGTGTCGTACATCAACGCTGACATGCGATAGTTTTACGAGATTCAAACCAGATTAGCGATGCAGCATTAAGCACATTACACAAAAGAGCGATGTAGATTTCTGCAAAGTTTAAAAAAATCTTCCTTATTTAAGCAAAATTGTTTGAAAGTACACATATCTTGGTGCGCTTGACATTCCACTTGCAAACAGCAAGAAACCAAGACAACAGAGAAAATGTAGTTTGTCTACACAACTTGCTGGATAAGTCTTAAGTTCTGAGTGGCTTAACATCCTTTGGAGAAATGGCACTTACTAAATACTAAAGAGTTAAATACAGAGCGTATGCCTTTCTAACATTACCCACTTTTATCACCCGGGAGTAACTGGGCTCCTTCTTCCTGGAAAGGTACAGGATCCGGTTCGGATTAATCTGCACGAGCACATTTCAGAACTGGCATCTCGAAGGAGGTGCACGGCAGGAAGCAGTGTCCGACGCCGGGCACCAGGCCCGTGCGGCAAAGAGAGCTGCAGTTACATTAGTCATAATTAAAGGGGAAAACAGTCGCCCTGCCCAGCATCGACTCTCTACAGTCAAAGACGAAGAAAGACACTGTAGCATCCATCCCCACGGAGGCAGCGGCCTCCACGGCGTAGTGTGACACCTGCACATTCAAAGAGACGCCTCGATCGAGGCCTCAAAACTGTAGCAATCTATCCCGAGGGAGTCCCGTAGCATGTCAGCTGTCCCCGGCGGGATGATGGCGAGAAACTCAGTCCTCGGTGTCAGGCTGGACACCCAGCATGACGTGCAGTTCCTCCGACGAGTAGCCGAGTAGGTTTTGGAGGTCGCAGACGAAGCGGTAGACGTAACGCTTGCCCGACGTCTTGTGGATGATGTTCTTGTCGTAGTAGTAGCGCAGGCCCCGGCTCAGTTTCTCATAGTTCATCTTGGGCTTGTTCTTCCTACGACCCCAGCGCCGAGCCACCTGGGGGGAGAGGTCCACAAATGGAGTCAGACAACAAGACAGCCCCGAATTCTCTACCCGCTCTGCATTCCAATACCTCATGAATGGCTCTCCACCATGGCGACCAAACGAATGCAAGGGTATTCTTCCATTTACCTCATCGGGGTCCATAAGCTTGAATTCCCAGTCATCTCCAGTCCATCGGATTATAGACTGGCATGTTTTGTCGGTCAGAAGCTCCAGGAGGAATTGCCACAGCTGGATCGGACCACTTCCTGTAGGGGCCGATAAGACACTGGTGAGATGGGCACCCCTGCAAGGTGACGGGGGAGAAGGGATCCTGGAGGAAAGTGCATGCATGTGGTCTACCTGTGAAGCCCGCCAGCATGGCAGCCGGAATGACAGGGTTTCCCATCTTCAGCGGCTCATTCCTCTCCTGCACGTAGTCCTTGAACGACAGACCCTGGCGTCCCAGGCTCAGCACTCCCGCATTCAGCTCCTCGTCGAAGCTGTCATGGGAGGGGACCTGCTGAGTGTCAGCCAGAGATGACTGGCTGCTCCAGGAACGCAGCACAAACTTGGTGTCATCCAGGCTCTCTGTGCTCTCCATGGAGGTCTGCTCGTGGGAGGAGCCTGTGACCCAATGGGAAAGCATGATTAATAAATTAGCAATCAGTGCTAATTATAATCAGTTTAACTTTCTAGGTCTCATCCCAAAGCCTGTCTGAGGTCTGGCATTCATTATTAGTCCATTATTATTTATTGTTCATAATTTTAAATAACTCAGGAGCTGCATGGACTCTTGACCGGCTAACCGACTGGCAGGACGGCACATAGCGACATGCAAAGCCATAGTGTAGTCATGTGAAAACTGCCGGATTTACCAAGACTGGTGGACGAGCTGTTACGGGAGTAGTCCTGCCTGGCTGTGCCATAGCTGACATTCACAGTGTGCAGCTGGGGCTTAGAGAAGACGGGGAAGCGAGGCTGTGCAGTCAGGAGCGGCGGCTTGTCGCTGCTCTCAAAAAGCTCCTGGAGAAGGTTGCTGCCGCTGGGGACTTGCGGAGCCAGCTGAGCGTCCTCCAAGCTGAAGCCTGCGGATATGTTCAACAGCACACTTAGGCCCCAGCAGCCAGGCCCCGACGACCTCCCACACAACATGCTTCTCCTGATCCACTCTCCCAAGGCTTCTGGAAGCTGCAACACTCACTGGTGGTGGGGCTGTTCATCCAGCTGGCACCCGAAGGTACGGTACCACTGAGGTTCTGGGCATCTTCCTTTTCCTGACAATCTGCGGGACAAAGGGATACGCAGCCGCTCATAAATCCGAAACTCATCATCCCTTCTGTGGCATTTAAGGAACCCCGGCGACCTCAGCGGACGGCGGGCCGGCGGCACCCCGTACCTTTCATCATCTGCTCCAGGTGCTCCCACAGGATGTCGCCGACAAAGTCTGGCGCCAGCTCAAGGAAGCGCTCCTTCCCCAGGTCACAGAGCATCTGTCCGTCCAGGTCAAACTTGGAAAAGTTGACATTCACCAGACTGAACTCACTCACTGCCCACTGAAGCCACTGAATCACGTGGGCCTTGGTCCAGGACCTAGGATCTGTCAACAGAACGAGGGAGGAAGGAAGCGCATCAGTGACAGGCGAGAAAGACACACCAACAAATTAGGACGTCTGGAAAACAAACTATCTTCCTGATGATATAAATAATATTATGCTTTTTCTTTAGACATACATATAATTGTAAGCATATCATAACCTAGATGAAAATTATATATTTAAAGATCGAGTGATGTGAAGTACAACACACCTACTGAAACTGTACTATTTATAACCCACAGTGAAAATGATATGGTTCTGCACTTAGCTTACAAATTAGAGGGGAAAGGGTCCCCTTGTGAGAGGGCCGATTTAAGAAGGAGTGTTATGATGACGTGCCAGTAGAGAGAAACGGGCGGAAACTCACTGCTCGAAATGCCACAACCGCGCTGCACTTTGGCGAAGCCACTGAAGCTCTCGTTCAGCGCCTGGCTCATCACAGCCTTGCTGCAGGGCGTCAGGAGGGGCAAGGTACAGGAACCCAGGTCTGCAGGAAGGGGGGAGGCAAGAGCACAAGACACTGGTCAGGGACGGACTTGCGGACGCCCACACCACAGCCCTACTGACCTTGCTGGCGGCCGAAAATGTCTGGGGAGGAAGTGCAACGGCAGACCAAGACTGGCTTGGCAACTGCACTAACGACCAACTGTCCTTCTTCCACAAAGAGGGCTTACCCAAGTTTTGCCCAAATTTTTTTGGCCATTTCCACATGTGGCCGGTTATACGGTCAGCCATCCATGACCACAATGACCGTTGCGGCCAGTGAGGCTCGTAGAAAAATAACATTCGACCTCCCAGATTTTCACTGCCGATAATTAGGCAAACAGAGACCTCACAGAACAGACAGTCCAGTTGGGCTTACAACTGGGACTACCATCCTGAGTCGATCTTAATTGGCAGAGCAGCAGACAGTGTATAAATCTCCTGCAGAACATTTCTCAGTGGCTCAGGCACACTTTGATATTTCCTTTGATATATTATCAAAACAGCTGTTTCAGAAAAAATAGACCCAGACTAAACAAACTCTTGATTTGCTTCTCCTTTTCGCCAAGTACAGATTTTCAATCTATTGTACACTCTTGCATATTGTGTAATTCTTCTACTGACATCATCAGTGACTAAGGAAATCCGCAACCATTTGGCAAAACCACAATAGTGACAAGTCTCTGGATACTTAGATGACAGCCGCGGCATTTCTCAAATTGATCAACTGTCATTTGCACCAACGGGGGATTTTAGTCACAAGTGTACAACTTTCTTCTTTGCTCCCCGGCTATGAATAGCGATTCACAATTGACTATTGAATTTTTTGCATTTGTTTTGGTCGCTAGAAGGGGGAGGAGCGTTACCATGTGGGACGAAGTCCAAGCCCGAAGGCACCTCTTGGACAGACTGGTCATCATCTGATGGGAAATAATATCCACAGAATAAAGACATGGGGTCTTCAAATGAATCGAAGGCGATCTGACGCTAGAGAGAGAGAGAGACGGAAACAAAACACGAAATGATTACTTAAACGTCTGAATCAACATGTTCACAGTGAGGTGGAAATGACTGAAACACGGCTATTTTATTATTTTTTATTTTTTGGATAAACAGAACTAATAACCAAACAGAACAAATTATATAGAATATTGGACTGAATCTGAACTTAACAGAAAACAATAAAAACTGTAAACCTAAATTTAATAATCGATATTCATGGTTTCTGAAAAGATAAGAGGGAAAAGCAGATAACGAGGGTAATAAAAGTCTGTCGTCATTGCGCAAACAGCGCCTTTATCGGCCATTAAAAGTTCAGCTCTCATGGTTGCCACGGTCTGCTGGCTGTCTAACACGCGGCCATATATGGGCTTCCTCTTCCGCAGCCCTCGTGACTCCTCTCCGGGCAGCTGGTTGCGATTCAGCGCCTGGGGTTTACGAGTCTGTGTGGGAGGGTGCCACGTTGGGCTGAAACCAGGCTCTCTTCAAATTTGATTAGGTAAAACAAAGCTCTTCTCAAATAAGCACTGCCATGTCTTATACTGAAGGGCAAAAATTGCCCACCATTTTGTCAGCACACAATTCCCCCTACCAGCAGCTGGGAAACTGCAGTGCATAAAAACAAAACCAAATAACTTTAAAATAAATCGTTTTAATTGGGTGCTTTATCTGTATGGTGCAATGCAAGAAGTCCGTGCAAAGACCGAGTTTTACATTCTAAGACGTGCACATTGAATGACCACAATAAATTTTATTTTTAAACTATTCAGTCTTCCTAAGTATCACTTCCAGATGATCCAGAACATCGTCCATTAGAATCTGAGCTCCTCAAGGTCTTCGGGTATTTTTCTCTGCTTGTCGAGGGATTTGTTATGGTGCAAAAACGAGGTTTCAAGGCAATCAGATTATCTATATCTAGTACATCTTTTGCAACTGTGCTCTTTAAAACACTAAGTATAATCAACCAATTTCTTCTCTCAGGAGAACTTAAGTTAAGCGTCTCAGGAGCCCATGGCCCAACTTCAAGAACAGGTCCTCTCCTTTTAATTCAAGTACACGTATTAAAAACAGTTTGTTGCACAAGGGAGTGCATCGGGGTGTTGATTCCTTACTTTCAGACTGCTACGATATCCAGACAGGGGGGCCACCTGATCCATGCTGAGGTCGCACATTGGAGTATAGATCTGTCAGGAGGAACAGAAAACATCGACGTGACCGATAGAACATATTACATAATTTGCTGGTTACGACATACTTAGACACTTACAACTAAAAAATACACGTCCGTTTTTTGGTCTGGTTAATTCTGCGAAACGTTGAGAAGGAGACGGAGAGAATCAACCCCAACAAAAACATCAGCGACCACAACAATACGGGACAGTAGTGAAACATTAAATTGGACTTAAAAGCAAACAAATGTTTATTCTTAAATATTAAAACTCGAAATTTAAGAAGACAAACACATTTGGTTTATTCTACATCCAAGATCGCTATATAGCATAACGCTGTTTCATAATACCCGACGTCGGCGGCCAGCAAAAAAAAAGCGCATAATTTCCCCATTGGTCATAAGTTTAATGTCTAATAGTAACACGCGTTATAGGTGGTCCTCGTTCATATTAAAACTGTGGGATAATGTCTAAAAAATGCTAAGAAATGGTTAGAAATGTCCGCGCACCCATTAACAAGTTAAACCTTTATCGTTTGAATCTATCGTGAAAACGTTTCGCTCCCTGAAGACCTACCGTTTGCAACGCAGCAACGATAAGCACCATTATGTGGACATCTTATTATAAAATTAGATATATATGTTGACAGAGGCCGGTATAATGGCTCAATACCTCTTAAGTCATTTCTTACCTGTTGTATTTGGGGACAGATATATTTTTTTAAAATATAAGAATATCCAGAAAAACGATTTTGTATTCCTCCTGAATGTACCCCGGTGGAGTCTTTTGATATTGTGAATCGAATGATTCAAGTAGCCGAATTACTAATGGCTCTAGTATGCAAGAAGGAAAAAAATAAAGCAATCCACTCTAACCCGGTTGCGCTAAAGTGCGTGCGTACCGACTGAATGGGGAAGTACGGAGCGCTTGGCTCTTTTCACAGAGACGAGACGTGGGAGGGGCCAGCAACAAACAAGCGATTATCTGCCCTTCCTCGTATGCATCACCATTGTTAGGAAGTATTAATGTAAAAAATGTGTCGGTGTTAATGATACAATAATAACACCCAATGTTTTGCAAACAGACATGTAGAGCATTGTTAGCAAAGCTGATCTAAAGTGAAACCTCCCTTACTATAAAAAGGGATAACATTTGGGCATCTGCGAACAAGCATATCTGAGGTTCTGAAAAGTAACGTAGCTGGTAGCCTCAGAAATGTGATTGAGGTTTAAACCCAGGTACGGGTTACTCCGAAGAAAAGCTGTTATGGCCTGTGAACTAATCTAGTTAGTAATATTTTGTATCTAGCCTTAGTGATGATAAACACGCCCTAATGGCTACGATTGTAAATTAACCGCATGCTTAAATGTCGGTGCATTGTACCGGCTATAAGTGTTAAGTTTTGTTTTTTGTCTAAGAAGCCACCATTACTTCCCATAGTTGTCATGGAGGTTCTAAATGCATGTTTTGTAATGCTTTATTGGGCTGTTTAACGTATAAATACCTTTAAGTTTTATACGTAACTACTACACTGAATGCCCGCCTCATATCCACTGTTTATTCAGTGCAAATGGTCATTGTTCGAGACCATTTACATCTAAAGTGTGCTTTGTTCCAGCACCGTGGGAGGTGTTGGGGGTAACCGAGGAGCAGTCCAGCTTGAAGCAGTGAGGTGGTCCATCTACACTGGAAGGTTTCATTGACAAGTAGGGAGGTGAACAAAAAGGGGGTTTGATGTGCTAAAAAGCACTTTCCATCACTGGGGTGGGCTGGTGTGTATGCAGGTTTTTGGGATAACCTTTAGGTCAGCTGTTCAAACTCAGGTGTGAGGACTCTTCAGCCAATCAGTCCACTAATTATAGTAATCTAATTAGGGAGTTGCAGCGAAAACTTGCATACCCAATGTTCCTTTTTGGACAAGACTGCCCACCCCTGTTCTATTCAGATCATAGGCCTATATACTTATTGGGCAGAGGTTTGATGACCTAGGATAGGTAATTCAGTGCCTCTCCAATCCGACAGGGATTTCAATGCAGTATCATTGCTGATTGACCAATGTTTATACACATATATAGTTTCACATTGTTCTCACAAGATGTTGGTCAGGTGATGCTACCTGGGCAGATGTAGTCAATACTTGCTGCTTTGAGAATCTGGGTTTTGCACTTAAATGCTCATGTTTTTTGCTGACCCGCCAGTAGATGCACTCTGAACTACATTGTTCTTCACGAAAAAGAAAAGTGCTGTTATCTCCCTGAGCACAGGAAACCAGCAATGGTGAACCGTGCGGCTTCAACGTGGCGTCATCGAAAGTGGGGACCCATTTCTATTTTTTTTATTTCACATAAATCGAGTAATGAGGTTTGAAATTATTTTTAACATTTGTTTTGAGCGTGCTTTGCTGTGCAGGAGAAAAGAACGTTTTCAGAATACGTTAATCATCACACTGTGTTTGCTTGATAACAAAACACACAGCAAAGCAATTTAAAAAGCGGGCTGACTTGGTCTTCAGGTTGGTCTTAAGCGACCTACAACAACAAAGACAACATGATCCATGGTGCCTTAAAGCAATTTTGTATTACAATGATTGGTTTGGTTAATAGTTTATAAAATCATTTAAGACGTCCGAAAAGACATTTGATAGACATTATGGTATCTGTAAAATGCTGTAAAGCCGGTATTTTATATAATATGCAATTTTGATGGCTGTGCTGCTATTGTTCCATAAGGGTTGATATAATAGATGCCTTTTTTTGGAAGCCGTTCTGTATAGGGAAAAATAAATGTTGATTTAAGAGTCATGACTATATTTTATATCCATTTGCTGAGTTTTGATATTGCAGAGAAAGCAATCTGTTGCATCAATCAGCGTGCTGGAACTTCGTGACCTACTTTTCCGTTGTTCCAGTTTCAAAAATCATGTTAGTTCTTGCTGAATCTCATGTAATACTTTTAGTTAATTTGGCATTTTTAAATCCTGACCATCAGGGAAAACCGTGCTCCCCTGATCAATGAATAGGCTCGCCTTCCCGGCACCCATGACTCTGACCAGGACAAGCCGTAAGGAGACAGCAGGATGGATGGACTTTCCTGGCAAATGCTGTCAACATTGCCTGAGTCTGCAAATGAGTTTTGTTTTTCAGAGCATTGAGGGTTGCCTAGCAACCTCCCCTCTCAGTTATGACTGTTTTCAGCAGAGCTCAGAAAATATCAGGCCTTACAGTGTACTGATTGGCTGCAAGCCTATACTCTGAGTGATGAAAGCTCACACTAAAGCTGAAGGTGGAATTTATACCATGGAAAAGGCGAAAATGTGATTACTTATCAAGTTTTGGAACCCATTCTTTGCAAGACAGGGAAGGCCTTTTATTTGGTTTATAGACCATACATTAAATTAAATATGTGACTCTGTGGAAATGTATAAAAGCAAGATATTACAGTGAACATCTGTCAATCTCACATATTACAGTCTTAGCCTTGTTTTGTTTATTTTTCATATAACTGTATTATTTAACTTTGTTAGCCAGCTAAATGGATCGGAGTCGGTAATGCTGTTACCTCACACAGGTTTGGGTGATTGACTCCCTCTCCTATAGTCTTGTGGTGTCCTGTACTGTAAATGTGTGCCGGGGTTCGTTCTGCACGACCCCAGAGAATGGGTGTCCCTTAGTCCTTCCCTAACCCCCCCCCCCCCATTTTTTACACTAGACATGAGGTTTGTTGTAGCTGAAGAAAAATCCTACTATTGCTTTTGCATTTTTACATACCATTCCTCCCACATAAAGTATTTTACATGGTTCATTACGAGTGACTGCCTTCAGCTAACATCTCACCTAGATACTGCATCACAGTCATGTGACTCAGGCAGCAGTTTGCCATGTTAGTTTCTCTTCTTTCTCCGGGTGATAACCAAATGAACCATTTTCATTGTTTATATGCCAGGACATCAGAGTTAACATCTAAGATCTTTTTTGTCACGTCTCTTTGATCGCTTCAGTTAAATGTCATCCAAAATATGACACCCTTCACCACACTGGGATGACGCTGCCTTATTTAGTGTGGAAAGAGGCGTGTCCCCCTACCAGCCGCCAAAAACCACCTTCAGCAGGAATTCTCCCTGCACGATTCCCATCCATCCAGCCATACGTATGATTGCTGAGTTTTAGGTAAGCTAACAAAACAGGGTCCCATGACAGCTATTTATTGCTTGTCAGATGTGAATGTTTACATAACTACAAATCTGACAGTTTATCTTTTAAGGCTCTTTTAGGTAAGCACATACATAGCTGTGTGATATTATTAGGCTAGGTCCTATGGCAAAATATTACTTGGCTAATTAGTACTAGCTGTTATTGAGTATCAGTTATGTCAATTTAAATGGCCGTATTTTCGATTGCAAGAATAACCATAAATTGAGTAATCATCTTAAACTATTAATTTAATGTTTGTAGCATAATTTCTCATATCACGATGTACATTCACATTTTGCAATTTCTTTTATTGTAATGTTGACCAATTCAAGGATTGGTAAAAATTGAATGTGCTTTTGTGGAGATAGATTGCTGCTATATAGTGAACGATAGATGTTATCATCCTTGCTGAAAACAGGCTCTAGTCCTCCCGGTGACCCTGATAAGGATAAGTGGCTGGAAGATGGATGAATGGATAACGCCCACTTCCCCAAATACAGCAGTAACAGTCGTTGCACTGCAGAAACCTGCACGAGGCAGCTATCCTGTTCGTGACATAGCCGTCCAGATGGAACTGACCGTGAGAAAAGTCGCCATAAAACCGCCTCCCGAGATATCCCGCGGCTCGTGACCCCAAAACGCGAAGCCAGGCAGCTTTTTGCAGAGCAACGTCTTTTCAGGCAGAAATAGAAGGACTTTGCATACTTATTTTTAAAATTCCCCAGCGTCATTCACAGTTAGCAGTGCTTGATTGCTTCTCCATGAAGAACAGCAGATGTTTTATGAACATGTTCAGTGCTTTAAGTTACTGCTCATTAAAGTGTCTTGTTTTCTTACGATCCCTTCTTAATATCAGGAAATTCTGGAAAAAATATTATATAGATAAATATTACTACTACAACTATAATAATAATAATAATAATAATAATAATAATAATAGCTATAATTATTATTCTGTTGCTGTTAATGTTATTATATAAGATAACATTTTTCTACATCTCTTTTTCGCAGCATTTGTGGAGATCATCGTGTGGTCCTATGCAAATGTAAATAGCGGCATGATGTTGAGTTGCATTGTGTTGGATTGTAAGTCTGCCCTGGGACTTTTGCCCATATAGGCCCACCATACATACATACCTATGATAAAATCCCTAAAATGAGATTTCCCCAAGCAGGCGGGGCTGAACACTACTGTCCCACTGGGAAAGTACTCGGTAGGTCAGCCCCGGTGCAGCTCTACTGACGCCAAATTGATATGCCCCCCGCTTAACTGCATATATCTGTTGAGCAGATAACATGATTCCACAGACTGCTTACTGTACTATAGACCGTGTCCTAGTCACATGACTGGATGGTCATTGAATGACTTCCACCATCTCAGTAGTCAAATAGTCACCGGGGACGTGCCTGGGAGTCGAATCTGCTTTGTGTTACGCTGCTGTTTAAAAGCACCTGATCAGCAGTGGCAGAGCTGCTGTGCAGTGGAAATAAGCTTTACTTATTCCTTTATTTGTTTACTTGTGTGTTTAATTACTTAATCTTATCTGTCATCTTAAGGAATAAAACAAAGACATGGCTGTTGTCGGAGTTTAAATTGCGTGACCGTATCTCCCCCTGCTGGAAGAGTACAATATTTACTTTTCAAAGAAAAAAAATCCGCGCTGTTAAAACGCCTTATTCAATTTGGTAATGCTAGGAGTTGCCTGTTTT